CTTTCTGGGCTCAAAGTTTGCCCCCGCCTACTTTTTTTCCTTTCATAAAAATTGAAGATGTAGTTTTTTGACTTTCACATAAAGGCAGGTATAGACACTTTATTGTCAGTTTCCACAGCAAAACACCAAATGGAAAAAAGATGAATAATCAGACAGTATTCACCAAGCCAGAGATAAATTCTTTATCTCCAAAAAGACATGGAAAATTCAGGCAGTATGTCAAGACCCAGCCGGGTCTGATGTGCTATTGATTCAGCATTCTCCTTCATGAGCAAGGTGAACCCTGGGGTAGGGTGGGAAGCAAGCCTGGTAGGGCTGCTTATTATTTCAGAATTCTGTGGATTAATGAGACAGAGGGCAGTCAGCAGGCCCAGGAAGTACAGGAGTACAGGGCCCACAGGGGATGTGAGGGCCTCCAACTCCTGGCTGCTCTCAAGTCCTTTGCCCAGCCCCAGCCTGGCTCAGGAAGGAGCTGTCTCTGCTTCCCAGGACATAGAACAGCATCCAAAGGTCATTGTGATGCAGGGTTCTGGCGCCTGGAGTCCTGAAGCTCTCTACCCCAAGGCCAGGCATGTGAGCAGCTGCTGGGACTTCTGCTCTCTGTTTTTACCTGGAGCTTGGGCAAAGCCCCTCTAGTTATGTTCCAGTAAAATGGATCTGGACACAGTCTGGGAGCCTGCTTCCAAAATCTTGCCCTTTAAAACAAAGCCAAGTATTCTGAAATTATCCTCACTTATTAAGTTCAACGTTTAGTCATTACCAGATTCAGATTGGTAGGAGTGAGACCTAGTCTGCCTTATTATGGCTTTTCTTAAAGACATGCTCTTGTAAAAACTAAGCAAAAGCAGTGAATTCGGGTTTTAAAAGACAAAAATCTAAAATAACTGTGGTTGCTTTTGGATTAGGAAATGTTTGTTTTAAAAGCAGTGTGGAAAAGAAATTTGAGGGCAAATCCCAAATCTTCATAGTTTACCTTGCAAGTAAATGCTATTAAAGATATTCTCCGAAAGACCAAAGTTAATGGGTTTCCCAGCAAGTCCAGTTAATGTCCAACAATTTTCCAAGCCAACTGCCTAAGTCAAAAAGCAAAAACAATATAAATGAATGCTCTTGGTTTTATAGAAAGAATCATAATTCTCAGCCCATTATTGCTAATGCTTCTAAGATATGGAGCCTTGAGGGTATCACCAGGCCCATCCCATATGCCAAGTCCTGCATCAGAACACCACCTCTACAACTTTATGGCCCTTCAAAGGCAAGCTTGCAACTTCTCTGAACTCAGCTTCCTCATCAGAAAGATAGAGTTACAGTATTGTCTACTTTACCAGGTAGAAAGGAAAGTTAAGTCCCTGGGTATCAGTTGGGCCTCAGGCAAAGGTTAGTCCCGTCTTTAATACTAGCGCCATCAGTGATGAGCTCCAGATTCAGCAAGAGATCCTGCCTTATCAATAACTACAGTGGAGAGTGGTTGAGAAAAACACCCAATGTCAACTTTGGGTCCCCACTAGCATGCACACACATACACACACACGCACACACATACATGCACACACATACACACACACTCACACACCCCTACTTATACACGTGCCCATACACATATGAACACACATATGTATATACAAATACACATGCAAAAAGTGCAGAACCGAAATCTCCATCTTGACTTACTTAGGAGGTGCACTTAATAAGGTCTCGGGGATGTGCATTCATACGGTGTGTGAACTTCAGAAGGTCTGATTTAGGCTCAGGCTGAAAATTAGGGAAAATTACACAGAATGTAAAGATGAAGGCCTACTGATAGATTGGGACCATGTCTATGAGGGCCTTGCAGGTGCTCTGACGGCCATGGACCATCAGTCATCCAAGGGATCTACCAAGGGATACAGCCTGACTGGCATGCTTCACACTGATGCTAGCTATAGCATGGAGAAGAGACCAGCCAGGAGAGTGA